GGGGGGGGGGGGGGCGGGCATTTTGCTGCTGAATCTCTGGGAACCACATTATTGGATTATACCTCTGTGGTCAGTCACTGCCTGTACTGTAAATACAACCTCATTCCCAGCCTCCCACCTGTTGTGGAGGAAAGACCCTGGTAGGGTGGTAGGAGCTGTTTTAATTGATGATGATTATGTTGATAAATATTTGATATTTATCATTGATTTTATTTTAAAGGAATACAAGATAATTCATTAGAAATCTGCTAGATTTTAGCAGATCACGTGACAAGGCATTTGCCCCACTGGGCCCTTTCCTTAGCCCCACCACTGAAGAAAAAAATGGCTTATTGCCCCAAAGCCAGGGCCCTTGGACTTGTATTGAGTAAATGAGTTTAACATTGAAAAGAAGTTTAAAAAACAAAATTTGTTGGTGAGCATACTTAAACTTATGTTATGATTGAATGTTAAGCATGCAATTTATTGCAAATTTCACCATTAAAACTTTTTTTTGAGAAGCTGAGATTTTTTTTAAATGTGTTCTCAGAATGCAGTAAATGCTATTTCAGAGACCCAAATTTTAAAAATTTCCTGGGGGGCATGCCCCCAGTTTCAACCCTCTAGCTAACTCGTGCCTGCGGTACTCTGCTCACACCTTCGGCGATCGCATACTATGCTGGGGGAAGGCAAGGGAAATGGGCCCTCTGGCAGTTTTGCCCCACCACTGAAGAATCCTTAAAATGCACTGTCACGTGACCAATTCCTACCAGGGTCTTTCACTCTTTCCACAAGAGATAAAAGCCTGGGAACGAGGTTGCTGTATGTAAACTGTTTTAACAGTCCTGTTTTGACTACTCTGGTTTTGCAATGGAACTCGCAAGGAAATTACATTTCTATTTGTGTAAATTTTTATATCTAACGGCATTTTTTTTGGAGGGGGTGGGGGGGGTGGGAGTAGTTTTATTTTATTTATTCCATTTTATTTTACAATAACTGCCAAAGACAATCAACATAAATACCACTAAGACATTAATGTCCACACTGCACAGGTGGGGAAAATAGTTCAAGAAGCCGCTGGTAGAAGTAATTTGAAGAACGTCACTCTGGAACTTGGTGGAAAAAGTCCTAGTATTGTGTTTGCAGATTGTGATATGGATAACGCAGTTGAAATGAATCATGTTGGTTTGTTCCTCAATCAAGGTCAATGTTGTGTTGCTGGCAGCAGAATATTTGTCGAGGAATCAATTTACGATGAGTTTGTTGCTAAGAGTGTTGCTAAAGCTCAAGCGAGAGTTGTTGGTGATCCTTTTGATGAGAAGACAGATCAAGGCCCACAGGTACAGTAGTACAGTAAACACCAAGATGTGAGTGATAAGTTATAGGTCCAGCCAACTAAATGTGAGAGCGCTCCCATCTCATAGCAAAGAATGAATGAAACGACTTTTTAAATGACTGTTTCAAGTGCTGACAGCGTACGGGCCTTTAAGCCAGTTTTCCGCTAGCGAATTTTTTTCGTGCGAAGCGACCTTTTTCCTTTGTCGGTATCACCACTGGGTATCACTTATAACGTCAGCAAGGCGTGGCAAAATGGATGCCGACAAAGGAAAAAGGTCGCTTCGCGCGAAAAATTCGCTAGTGGAAAACCGGCTTTAGACCGAATACAATTCAATAACTGAGCGGCTTCAAAGAAGGAATCTATGCGCAGAGTAAATGAGTAATTGATGTTTCGCTTCGTATCAAAAAAGATTAGTGCAGTGTTTGCAACAAAATTTCACTGAAAGCGTATTTATAAAGCTAGTGGTTATTTTACGTTCTTCATTTTGTCCAACTTCAGGTTGATAAAGAACAATTCCACAAAATCATGGATTTAATTGAGAGTGGTAAAAACGAAGGAGCAAAGCTGGAATGCGGAGGAGATCGTAGTTCAGATAAAGGATATTTCATTCAACCTACTGTGTTCACTGATGTGCAAGATGACATGCGTATTGCAAAAGAAGAGGTAAAACCGTCCGCATAATGTGTTTTATATTTTAAGCCACGTTTTCAGACAAAATATCGAATATTTTAAAATGCAATTTTCATTTGCAATATGATAAGTGACAACCTTAAATTTCTCTACTGGAAACGCAGACACCTAAAAATAATCCTGGTTCGATCTACCTGAGCATTTTATTGAAATATTTCGTATTTATGAGTTTAACTATGCTAATATTTATGTGCCAGTCCAGCAGCTTCTTAGAAGACCTTCGCGATCATGCGCAGTTGCGTTTAAGCTAAAATGTTCATCATTTCTATCGAGATTTTTGGTGTGTCAATTTATTTATTTATTTATTTATTTATTTATTAACTTTACAACCATGCATAAATAGACTAAAAAACTACATAATATGGTTGAAGGTATGGTCAACAGGACATGAAAAGCCCCATATGAAGACCAACCTTCAATGTTCTGCCTTATGTTCCTAACTTTGCCTTGAGCTATTCTCGACCTTCTTTTTCTGGTTAAGAGATTCATTTTTACCCCAAATAAAAATGTGAAAACACAGTTGATGAAAATGACCAGCATCGTGATCGTGAAACTCGTATAATGAACGAATGAGTGGCGCGGATTGAGAGACATACAGTTACCTAAAAAATATATAAACAAAACTTCGACGTTTCGAGTGCTAGCACTTCGTCGGGAAGTAACGAACTAACGAAGAGCCTTCGCGCGAAACGTCGACGTTTTGCGGATATTTTTGAGATAACGCTATACACTGTGTTACACGTACTTCATGTAATACGAATTATAGAGATTTTACTGTAGATTGAAGCATTGCATGTCAAAGCAATGAAAGCATGCATTGCATTTTAAAGCAATTTTGTATGGATTTTTTAAAAATATAAAACCTTTTCGGGAGACCTATGGTCATCGTTCGCTATCTACACATTAGAGAGGTTAAGATACCCCGGTTTCGGTGTACGTGTACGGGTAGCATGATTTTAGTTAGCAATATTTTCGTCGATGTCTGTACCTTTACTCGTAATTAAGGTACACATTTTTCGCATTATATCATTGTCTATTGCAAGAAAACGAATGATCGAATTACAGACCGGGGTATCTTAACCTCTCTAATGGCACCGACCGTTCCTGATTATTGAACGAAAGGTTTTCTAGAGAGCAAAGCAAGTTCATTAAATTGAACGTAAATGGACTGAAAATGGAGCTACTACTGTTCTTACATTTACAGTCAAAAGATAAGAAGAAGCTTCCCACTTCCGCTTGTGTAGTCAGTTGTAATTTTCTGTAATATTGTTCTGTTTTATTGTAGCGCGCGATTACCAAATTATGAATAAATACGGCGATTAACTTTTGTTTAGGTTGCTTTGTTTATGATAATTTGTAACAAAGGATGCATTTTTCGTTAGATTCACTACATTTTAACACATAAAATATTATCGTCGCAATTCTCCATGATCGGAGTAATACAGAAATTTACAAATTACAGTAAAGCAGAAAGTTCTTGTATTTTGACCGATGTCATATTTATACTGATTAGCCTATATTGGCACGTTTTAATATTAATTAACAATTATTAGGCGAAGGCGAGGTGATCATCGGTGAATAAAAACCGAGACGAAGTCGAGGTTTTTATTCACGATAATCACCGAGCCTGAGGTGAATAATTGTTTTAGTATAATTTCATAGGTGATTATTTGGAAAAAATAAGAAAATACACATTTCTTTCATTTTGACAAAAAGGCTTCGGCCGCCATTTTGAAAATCGCTTAGGTGATTATCGCGTAATAATCACCTCAACGGCAACCAATCAGCGTGGAGAATTTTCAATAATCACCTATGTAATTATACTAATATTGTTTACAAGAGTTTTCAAATGTTTATCCTCGTAAATTACCTCGCATATTTCTCTCCGTTGTATTTCAGATCTTTGGACCAGTTATGCAAATATTGAAGTTTAAAACAATCGATGAAGCGATTGAACGAGCAAATAATACAACGTATGGTCTTGGCGCCGGAGTATTCACCTCTAACTTGGAAAACGCTGTCATGACATCGCATGGAATCAGAGCTGGACTTGTTTGGTGAGAAAAATGAACAAGTTGTAGGCAATTTTGAAGGCAATTTGGAATGTAAAAATATAAGTAGTGGCTACTTTCAGGGCATTAGATGAGGGGAGATAAAATTCGTTCTAAGCCTCTTTCGTCTATGTCTTTTTTAACAGCTTTAATTTGGCACGTACATAACTAGACATTTTTGTACATAATTTACATACTAGACAATCGCATTTAACAAGAAAATGGAGAACACTAACACAAGGGAAACACAAAGAGACAAGGTCGCATGCATAGTGCTCACCACTAGATGTGATAGGACGTAGTCGTAGTGGCTGGTACAAGCTTTCGTGGAGATACACATGGCTATAGTTGTAGCTTCATTGCAATACACAAAGTCATCTTCTGTTTACCCTGCACAGAACATATTCTGTACCCTGCACAGAACATATTCTGTGTAGATGTCATAACCGGTGTCTTTGAGATCCAAAAAGTTTCAGTGGAAGGTTGCATTCCATTTTATTTTCTTTCAACAATTTTACAGTTATTGCAATCTTTCTAATAAGAGAATAACCATTTTATATTCCAACCTTACTCCACCAGGGTGAATTGTTACGACATAATTGACATGACCTGTCCATTTGGCGGATACAAGATGTCAGGAGCCGGACGAGAACTGTGAGTTCATTAATAATGAGCTTGACAACTAGCATTTGTATGAAGTACAGTTAATGTTGATACGGACACTTTAATGATCAGATTTGACACACACAATCTTCTAACCTTACAGGGGGGAATATGGTTTGTCGCAGTATTCCGAAGTGAAAACGGTACGTAATCTATAAAATGGCTGACTCCTGTAAGTCATCATTTTTATCCAAACGCTAATATAAACTATATCTATGACGTATACTGGTGTTTCGTTCTTGTGAGTATGTGTTGCAGGGCAAGCAGAAAATTCGACTTGACCACGGCTGGGAATCGAACCCGCGACCTTGGCATTTCTAGAACGACCCTCTACCGTCTGAGCTACAAGGATAATTTGGGAACGATGTTACTTATTTGTGATGTTATAGGGTCGGTAGATAGGTAAATGAACAACCCAACCACATCCCAAAAAATATATTGTGGTCGGCATACAGGATTTTTTTGTTAGGCCTAGGTTAATAGAGTTTCATTGGGTTTCGTGTAGTAACAGTACTTATTTCACTGTTGAAATTTAGATCATGACGAAGATTCCACAGAAGAATTCCTAGAAATGATGACACTTTGCTTGAAGAGCTCAAATTGTAGAGCTTTACTTTATTTCATAAAGTCAGAACAGGAAATGTGTTTCTAGTATAGATATACATTACATGCATGCACACTACGACGTTTAGTGGATGTATCCGTATTTGTATAAGTATATTTTTAATTTGTAGAAATAGTATAATGCAAACATTGTGCAATTTAAATAATCCCGCTTGTTTGTTTGTTATCTACTTTTGTTGTGACACTGATAGTAAGCGTATATCGATCATCTCTAATGCGTTATTGTGCATGTGCACAGGTTTGCCCGCAAGTTCCGTAGCTAGGCACATTCAGATTGCACAAAATGGCATTGCTACCACACTTTACTTCGCTTGTGCGTCAACCTATGTCGAATGTTCTTGTTTTGCCTTTGAGGGCAGGGAGTTTATTTGTAAATAGGGGGAGGGAGTTGGGGGTTTAGTAGAGAGAGGGGCTCATTGAATTTGCCGAAATGCAGTGGGTAAGAAACAATGTAAACTTCCAGAAAATTAGTGAATCTTATCCGTGCACAGTTGTTGTGGCGGGCATGGGCGAGAGGATCAAGGCTTAATTAAATGCATAATAAAATCTCTGGAAAAGGAGCTGGTTTTACTAGAGAGTCGCGCGCGCGCGTGACTTGAACCTATTCCCAGACCCCAGCGGTCGCTTGTCAGCGCGGTAGAATTCAAAATGGCGGCGAAATTGGTCAGCTCAGTGAATTTGTCATTTAAACATTTGGTTTATAATTGACACTAATATATATCCAAAATGAAACTGGTAAGTTTTAAAAATGCTGTTTTATTTTTGTAACTAGGAGTTACTATCGCAAGGAAAGTGCTGCCTTTTTGCCACATGAACTGAATGCAAAAGTTTGTACTTCTAGACAATTCTCTAAAGGGAAGTCTAGCTACTTTTGACCCAATAGCCTCATTTCCACGTTTCATTTGTATTCATCATTGGTAGCATGACAGGCCCAGCCTGCGCATGGAAAATGTATCTCCCATGTTTCCTGCACAAATTTGTTTCTCGTTCATCGTTTAAGACCAATCACATGAATATCTTCTAAACTCTTCAGAATTTGCTCAGAGTCAATGTGAGTAAAATACTCCTTGTATTCAAGTGCTTTCATGTAGAAAGTTTCGTTTGAATATGGCACAGAATAGAAATATTTATTTTGAATTTTTCAAAATATCGGGTTTTTACTCACACACACCACGCACACGCCATGTGTATGCTTGGTCATCTCAGTCTGATGCCGTGCAAACCACTGGTAGTAATTTGACTCGTAGAATCGATTACCGGTTTTTCCACGACCCGTGAGAGACCCTACAATGAAAATAGCGCTTTGTTTTGATGTATGTTTCATGGGCCGCGCTAAAAATGTAAATATTCTGTAAATACAGAAATAAAAAATTAAAATCTAGAGACACAAGCTTGAAAATAACACTCCAAATTGTGTTTTGGATTCTGGTTAGAATAATACTATTACGAAAAAGATGTGTCCAAAGGGGCCAAAGTTATGTTCGGCCACAGTTCGGTGAAATGTATGGCTATAGTTTACATTGTTCGTTATTATGTAATATGATACTATTGCGCACCCAGCGCTGCGTGAATTCTAATACTGCACGAATTTTAATTCATGTAAGGTATATTGTGGATTGCAACATTAATAATAATTATCATTATTCATAGCAACCTTAACATTTACATCCAGACTGTATGTATACCAGAAACCTGCGGATGGAGAGGGATTCAATTACACCTGAAAAATGCAAGTAAATCTGCAGCTTTCTGGTGTTATTGCAAATCCTTCTCAATCCATAGCTTTCTGTTGTTATTGTCACTACCTACTATGGAACACACAACAATTTTATGATTGGGAGGGCTGGTGCTGAGATGAAATCTCTGCACCCTGGGGATTTGGGGGCATGCCCGCAAGAAAATTTGGAAACTTACAAACCCAGAAAGGAGTTTGTCGGTTAACCGAGTCAAATCCGAGTCATTGTTTAGTGGTCTTTGTAGTTCAATGACTTAGTGCCCTAACCCCACACCTAACGTACCCTACCCTATTCGACTGTGAATTTTATTCAATTTCGGACTTTGTCGGTTTACCGAGTCAAATCCGAGTCTGAGTAAATTGTCTGAGTCACTGCTTAATTAACTGTCTTTGTCGGTTCAATGACTTTGTACCCTAACCCTACTCCTAACCCTATTCGACTGTGAATTTTCTTCAATTTCAGGCCATTTAAAAACCTGGGGGTCTGGTATCGGCTTCACGGCTTGGCGAAGAATAAACAAATTATCTCAGTCTGCTTACAATTTCCTGTTAATGTTATATAGTTTTACAATTCTGACTAAGTATAACAGAATAATATGGATGCATTGTAATGTCAAAATTTTATTGCGGGCATGCCCCCAAACCCCAGGGTGCAGAGATTTCATCTCAGCACCAGCCCTCCCAATCATAAAATTGTTGTGTGTTCCATAGTAGGTAGTGACAACACCAGAAAGCTATGGATTGAGAAGGATTTGCAATAACACCAGAAAGCTATGGATTGAGAAGGATTTGCAATAACACCAGAAAGCTGCAGATTTACTTGCATTTCTCAGGTGTAATTGAATCCCTCTCCATCCGCAGGTTTCTGGTATACATACAGTCTGAAGACATATTCTCATAGACATATATTTATAATATGTTAATTGGACACATATTCATATTCTCAAGACATATATTTATAATATGTTAATTGGACACATATTCATATTCTCAAGACATATATTTATAATATGTTAATTCATGGTCTGTTTTATTTTTATGTATCCTCAAGTTATGTTCATATATTAATTGTCTGTAGTGCATGACTACATTTCAGGGTATATTTCTCAATCTGCTTACAATTTCCTGTTAATGTTATATAGTTTTACAATTCTGACTGAGTAAACAGAATAATATGGATGCATTGTAATGTAATGGATGTCAAAAAGTTCATCTTAATTTTACTTGGATGGATCTGTAAACACTGGCAACAAAGTAATTGCATTGCAAAGATAGTCTAGATAGATCCAGCCACTCAGTTGTGCATATGGTTGTTATGAATTTCAAACACTGTTGAGAAATATACCCTGAAATGTAGTCATGCACTACAGACGATTAATATATGAACATAACTTGAGGATACATAAAAATAAAACAGACCAATTAACATATTATAAATATATGTCTTGAGAATATTTCACACTTGTAGCTCTAAAAAGTGCTGGATTTATAAGCTCGTTTATAAGCACACTGCTAAACGCTAGATTCTAGAATTATCGCCTTGACAAACCGCTACACAAACATACAAAGCTGAAGGCATTTAGACAATTTACTGTAGTACACTTTGACTCCTTGTATGAGGACATTGAATGACCTTATAAATGTTGTTATGACCAATCGATTAGTGGCTAGGCTTGTGGGCTGTTTAATAATAAACTCATGAAATACTCCTATATTTATCGAATACTAAAAAGTTCAACGCTTTCATGTATGTCAACAGAAAGAAATAAAACCACCCTTACCTAAACTATTCTAAATATTGTAGATCGTTTAATTTTGCATCGTTTAATTTGCATCCATATTAATTAAAAAGCTCGTAAAATCTTGAGAAGAATTGAAAGCATATGTGCGCAATACAAAATATAATTATATTTGCCCGCCCCCCTCACTTAAAAAATGTCCCTGAAGCTTAATTATTTCCCCTGGAAAAATGGACAGACAGACACAAGTCGAGATCTCGACAATACATAGGTCGCGCGAAAGACTGGGTCGAAAGGACTCTGAGGAAACCCTAGCACGTCAAGAATAGTGTGCTGCCTCGCTGACGCTCGGCAGCAAATATTGCAATATGTTAAACTAATATATTATTTTTAGTATTCGCTTGGTAGGAGCTGCAGAGCACCATGTTATGTGCTGAAATTTAAACAAGCAACAGTCATGTTGGATTGTTCATTGGACATGACACCTGCACTCAATTTTACACCACTACATTTAGTTGAGAAGTAAGTATCTGGAATTAAATCACCAGTGAAGATGTAGTTATTTACCTGTATAGTTGTTGAAAAATGTCTAGATCATAAGTATCTATATATTGCTGTAAACCTGCCACGTGTTTGAAACAAGAACGTAAGCCTATTTTCGTGACTTAAAGAAGTTAAAATAAGTGTATGTACACTGCTGTCAAGCATATATGTCAATGGAACAACTTCTTTACTCCCTGTCATCTGGGTGTTTGACAGTTTGTCTAAAATCTGACTATAAGGCCAATGAAAATTGATATCATGTTTCTCGTCCCCGCCCGCATGGGTTTTATCTGCCGCACAAAAATTTTTCATTATTCATTATTTTTGAAAAATAGACTTAAAGGCCCATTTACACGATGCGATTAGTTGTATACGATTCTTACTCTGGCGTATGTGATCGAATAAACACTCGTACAAACGTCACATTTCAAATTTCGCCATCAGCGAATGAGCAGTAACGTGGCATTAGCACTCGTTTTCATTCGTCAGAATGACAATCGTATACAACTAATCGTATCGTGTAAATGGGCCTTAACAAAACACCAAATTGATCTCCAGATCAAAGTCTTATTGCTGCATTCCGCAAGCGCAACTCAAATTGTATCTTTCTAAAGACATTACTCGCCAGAATGCCTCTATTTTTCATGTCAGCCCTGGTATGCGTAGAAATATAC